CGTTAAATCGATAAATGTTGAAATTCAGAAACCGGTTCTACAGAGGCTCAAGGCAACAGGTGCTCGGAATTATATGGCCAGATGAATCCGTATCCTTTCTAGATATCTACAGAGCCATAAATCCGTCACCTGCCTTCAATTTCGTGCATTTGTACTTTCACGGATGAATAAGATTTCTGCAAATCCAAAGTACGTACGAAATCACTAATCCATTAATCGAATACATCGAATCCTTTGAGACCCATTGATGAGACCAAGGATATATTTTCCATATAGATATAGATGCATACTTATTAAATATCGTGTATTACATATCGTGTATTAAAAATCACTCTTGGAGCGCTGCCAAGGAAATCTTCTCTTTCATATCTTTCTAAAAGTTCCTTTTAAAGATATTTAAACTGCTAACAGAAAATATTTTACTTGTGGGAAGTTTTTACTTACCGAATTATCGCGAATCATCTTACTATCATCAAAGAAACTGCTCTTCCAAAACAACAATAAGATCTCATTTCATATAATACTTTGTAAGAAACAGTTCAGAGAAGCTCTCATGAAAATGGAAGCGACAGCTTTGGTGAGGATGTAACAGGTCAAAGAAATGCTTGCCAGATTACGTTACCTCTTGGTCTCTGTGTATGCGCCAATGAAACATTTTGCTTATTTTCTCAAGACTTCTTTCCTCTATTTTTTTTTATGTTTCTAATTCTAGCAAGCGCGTGCCGTTTCGGTACCCATGATGACTTTGTTCTCGTAAAACTTTATTTTTTAATTCTTACAATCATATGTACGATGTGTTCCTTTATCACGTACCTTTGTTTCTCTTTGCTTGTGCAACTATTTATTATATCCAAATAAATATCCGTACAATGTCTACAATTTCTATTATTTTGATTATTTTAGTAATAAATTAATTAAGAAACTTATTTTAATATACAAAATAATAAAAATGTTTAATTGGCTCAAAACATGTAATAGAATTTTTTGTAAATATACAACTTTACAAAATTGAGTTTAACCCTTTGGCCTACAACCACGAGTACTCACTCGTGGTTGTAGGCCAAAGGGTTAATAATAATTTTTAAAAAAATGTCAAAACTGATTGTCAACTTTTTAATAACTTTTGGAAATCCAAAGAAATATTTACGTTATTATTTTCTTTTAAAACAATGTATTTAATCGCCTTTGTCACAATTAATGTCAAAAATAAATAATAATTTTAGAATGTCCTTTCTAGTTCGAGGATATTCTATTATTTCAAGAAATCAGCGTTTACGAATGTAACAGGTGGTCGAATTCAATTTATGATGAACCAGCTTAAACCACAGAAAACGCAACAGTTTTGATTAGACAAGGACAAACGTATATGAAAGATGTGGAGAATAATAAATGGATTCTATTATTCGGAAAGTTGCTTGAACAGAAATAATGCCTCCATTCCACTTATATTCTCTCTCACCAAGATGTTTAGTTTCCGATAAAATAGAATCTACTTTGCCAAGTTGAAAACTCAATTAGAAAGCTCGATTAATAATGTCAACAAAACGAACCAACTGCACTTGACACACACACACACACACACACACACACACACACTCTCTCTCTCTCTCTCTCTCTCTCTCTCTCTTAAAAGTATTAAAAGAAAGCATTAAAAGAATATTAATATTAACTGTAAAAATTATATTGCATTTTAATTTATAATTACAAAGAATAAAATTATATACAAATGCATTTTTGCATGTAATGTAATTTAACAAAATTTTGCTTTTAATTACGCAATAAACGGAAAGTTGTTAATGCAAACTGCTGGTATCAGGTTATAGTTTTGCAAACTGTTTGTATCAACATAAATAGTAATACGACTTGATATAGTATGAATCTCGGGGGACGGTTTATCTCTGTGAGTTAGGACGATCTTGTTTCTGATATACATATTCGCTGACCTAAACTACCAGCTTTGCCGGAGGCACGTTCCGCTCTTAAACAGTAACTTTCCTGAAATGATTAACAAATAAACGATTTGATCTGGACGAGAAACGAAGGACTTTATGCCACTTTAACGTAAATTCAGACTCTAACTTTGTTACTGCACTGCATTTCAATTCCGCTCCGAGGACAGAGAAACACAGAGAAATAGAAAGAAAGACAAGAAAAGAACAAGAGAAAAAGCAATTCGGATAGAATTGTACGAATACGATGCAAAAGCGATCGGGTAGAATATCAAGAATATATAGTATAGAATCCCGAAAATGTTTATACACACACGGTGCTATAAACCTTGATAGTACATTTCGATGATAAGTCCTTAATAGAGTTGGAATCAGTTTTTATATAAAAATAGATTAATAAGAAATTACATTTTAACATTTAGTTCTTAATACATATATATAAATGAAGTTATTTTTGGTTTAAGATTTTAAAAAAAATTTTGATTTATATATATATATATATATATATATAAAATTGCATGTTTTAAATAAAATCTTCAAACGAAAAAAAGGTGTTTTTCAGCATATTTTTAAACTTATTATAAGCTTGTGTATGATATATATATTATTTAGAAAGTAAATCTTTTTAGAATTTTAACTATTTAATTTAAAAGTTGTTATTACTAAAATATGAGTTTTATACAGAATAAATTATAATAATAAATATCAAGTAAATGTAATAATAGATATCAAGTATATATGTATAATATATAAAATATACCTATAGCTATGCTTATATGTAGATGTATATATAGTAAATGTATATATAGATATCAAGTATGTTATGTATAAAATATATATATTAAAAATAGATAACACATACGGATAATGTGTTTCGAGCATCAACTTCATGCTGATATATTTGTTAACGGCATTATGTCGGTGCAACAAATATCAACAAGGTCATAATAGCTTATCAAGAAAATTATTTCACGGCGCTGTTTTACTGCACTAGCTTCGATCAATGTAACGATAATATTTTCTTAATGTCGTAATCATCCATGATTAATCGAGGCTTAATTGATATCATCTAGAAACTAAATTAACTGGACGATGTCATGATAATACTATAGAATTGCCAAGGAAATTCGATAATGCCGATCGGCAATCAATTTTTTCACATATCGAGATATTTCGAATATCAACCTCACCGCTAATTAATGTTACCGAAAGTGCTACATATTCTCTATTCGTATAACTAAGTGTTATTATAAAACACGTCTCTAGACGGATGAGAAGTGTAAATGACTTTCCCTTTTGCATTCTCATACTGGCTCATCGAACTCGAGTTTAGAGCCTCATGGCAAAGCCATGTCGACGTCATAACTATAGCCGCTCTATTTTTGCTTATCTCGACTCCACTGGTCTTCTCCCCTACTGAATCTCTCTCGCACTCGTGTATTTCTGGCAAGACTTCTCGCGAAGTACATACACACGTGAAACAGAAACGCAAAAAAACACAGTTCGAAATATTTCGATTAAATCTATTTTTGTTCTCGTTCTTTTCCTATATAAATTGTGATGAAAAATATTACCGTCACAATAAAAAGGATATTGTTGAAATGCGAACTCCACGACGCTATTGTGCATTTAAAACTTTACAGAATTTTGTCTGAATGTAAGAAAATAAATAGATTAAATAGAAATTGATGTTGTTCCTTGATATATAGTTTCAGTATTATCAGCAATTATTTTCTTTTATTTATTTCGAAAAATATTCGAAGCATTCCGTTCAAACTTTATTTTAAAGCGTGAGCATAAAGAAGTGTAGCTTTAAATTAGAAATTTATTAACAATTACGGGACACAAAATACTTCAATCTCTTACAACTTATGACTATAAAAAAGTTTTGAAATTTAAAGTTTGAAACAATACTTAATCTCTGAGACACCCTACCTAGTAATTTAAAATTACTCATTATAAATTTAAATTACGTGTTCAAATAATATTGACTCTTTTGATTATAAAGTAATCTAGCAAATTCCATTGATGCATGAATAAATTCCAATAAACAATTGTAATTGTAAATAAAAACATGTAACCATTATTATTTCATTGTAAGTGGTATTTTATTAAGTTAATTTAATATTGTAAAACAGGTTAATCGATAATCGATTTGTCCGAAACCATGCGTCGTTATGAAATTATCGAAAAATTCAACAATTGTTTTACCCACATTACCGATACTTTCATACTAAATTGAGAATGTTTGTACAATACTAGAAGCTGTCAATAATTTGCGCCGCAAAAGAGCGAAGTGCACACACTCCGAAAAAGTTTCACATCGCTTTTGCTGTAAATCATAGTCTATGAAATGTTTGGAAAACCAACGAATAATAAAGAATTTAGAAAATATTTAAAGATATTCAAAATTTAATATATAAAAAACCGCTAAAAGCATTTCAAATATTATAAATATTGCAATCTAAAATATACTTCTCAAAAATATTATAACTTGTAAAAGATTTCATAGATCGTCAAATCCACCTACTCAAAAGTTAAAAATTCTGAAGCATGCTTCTCGAGAGATACTTAAAACATCTCTCGGGAAATCTAAAAATTTAATTATCTATGGATTCAACATTTATCCTATAAATTCAAGATTTTAAATTCTTGTAGAATCGCGTGGGACGCAGGATCATTAATAATTAAGACAATATACGATGTTATTTTTAACAAAAATTAATAGTTATTGCATTACAATTTTGTAAAATATTTATTCAGTTAAATACTTAAGACTTCTAAATTTTGATTATACTGTTAGAAATTTAGACCTATTATTATTATTTCAATTATTTTGTTCCACCTTAGATCAAAAGTCACCTTATCTTTCAAAAGCCCATAATAGACTGTCTATTCTCTATCTCTCTCACTTCATATATTTATCTGGTACACTTGCATTTCCTATCTATCACATGCAAGTTGTGGTCGACACCACAATTTTGCGTAAGAAACGAAATCGTTTTTTATGATTGTTTACATTTACAACAGGTGGAGAAAGCTATTTCTGACCTTTGCTGGTGAGACTGAAGCTACGAAGTCTGTAACTATCCTCATCCTCGCCTTCCTCCCGTGGTGGCATCTGAGACGAGACGTCAGGCACATCCAGGAAGGCGTTGCTCTTCCTCTGATGCGAATAGTGCATGCTTTGTCCCCTTCGACTCCCTCGTCTCCTGATCCCCGGACTGACGTCATTCTCGGTCAGTTTGGGTTCGCTGCTGCAATGAGCTGACTTCATACTGGCTCCCTCATGATGATGATGATGATGAGCGGCCGCTGAAAGCGACAGGATTATAGATATTAATGCACCATTCAATATCGGATATAAATAAACAGATTTCGTCAAAAATATATAAAACGGATTCCAATAACGGTACCTGTGTATCACTTTCACACTAACACACATTGCATATGTATGTACGTGCATGAATAATTTTGTATAATCAATATCATTATATAATATTATTGTAAAATATCAAGATTTTGGTTAAAAAATGTAAAATAATTGTTATTATAATATAACAGATATTAAAATATAATTATACTTGTAAAGAACGTTTACAGAAAAAAAAAAAAAATTTATTGTATTGCTTAATAAACAATTAAAAAATTTTAATAATTTTTACCTACCATTTTAAAGCTATCTCTCTGTTTTCGAATTATATATGTGCATGCATTTTATATAAAAACGTCAAATACCTGTACTAGTATCGAGAGCACTGGCTTTTGTTAACAAAAAAATTTAATTTTTCCAGAAATATATTTTCAATATTTTACAATGTAATGTTACAATAATAGATTCTATAACAGAAAAAATATGAATGTATTTCAGTGAATGATAAAACTATTTTTAAAGGGAACCATTGGCAATATAAACACAATAGAACAAAAAACTTCTTTTTCGACTGCATGCCGACCGAACTTTTCATCAGCAAAGCGCTTGAGAATAAAGCAAAGAACAGAGCATTTTTCAAAGGCACTACACCTATTAGATCGCAAAGTCGACGCGTGGAAAGTCAAGTGATTTAATACAACCTGGAGAGCTAGGAAATGAAATTAAACGACATGGAAAAGAAAAGAGAAGTGAACTTAGAATCGTTTACGAATGTTTGCTCCATTTAATCACTAAGTTTATCGAGCAGATAAATTTTCCCATTTCATCAATTTCAAGAAAATAGGATCTCTCACATTCCAATGTTATTACAATTAGAGCTTTCAAAGAAAGAAGCTTTGAAACAGAAGCTGATTTTTCCGCATCTGTAATATTAAAATGGATTAAAGCTGTATTTAATGGAGCAATGTCTAAAGTTATACTTAATTTAACAACTAATTTTACAGTATCTTATTTATTGTAAATAAATAATTTATATTAATAATTTATGCAATACGATATTGTAACTAAATCAACATATTTCTGATAACATTAACATTTTCGATAATTTTAAATAATTTCATGTAAAATATATATTTTCAAGTATTATGTAGATAATTTTTTGTAATACCAAATAAAATGCTAATTATTTGAATAAACATTTTAACAATAATGAATTATTAAACAAATAATGTTTGCTCATTTCTACCGCTCTCTACCGACACATTACACTGAAATTTTAGCTCTTTCTCCCTTAATTAAGATTTAATAGTCTTGCTTGCATTACATCTCCGTACAAACAACACGAATTATCACTCTAATTCCTGTCTTTTATTAATACACATTTCCGTGTTTCAAAACGTGCATACAAAACAGCGAAATCGCTAACATATTTAGCGATGAAACTGGTTTCTAGACTTGCAAAGATACGCGATACGTATCTTTGCAATGTACGGTGAGACGTGTTTGGGCTGTCAGTGACCTACTAGCCAAATCCACGTCCGAGAATAGCGGCCGCCAATGATTTCAAGAACTCTCGCCAGACTCTACAGTGTGTTTGCTGGTGCGATATCGATACACTTTGCTCTTTCAGCAGGAAGGATCGTACGTCATCTATGACGTTTCTATGAGCTTATCAGACACTACCAAACCATCCGGGTCACCACACCACGTAATCTTGTCGCACAAAATTGACTTTTACGTCTCTCGAGATCTCATCTCAGCTAACGATGTTCATATCTTCATCATTGAGAAAGAACTGAAGATACACAAATCGGTTTGACAATTTAAATTTTTATGCATATGAATAATTACATATCCTCGAATTAAAGTATATAAAGCAAGAAATGTACAAAGTGAAAGCCTTTGGAGAATAGAATCGACAAATCTTAAACTTTTTTTAAACTTGAGTGCAGAAATTAGCGAATTTATTCATTTTAATCTAACCCTTTAAATTCTCGAGTCTTTGAATCCTTTTGAGAATTAAGTACAAGTCTCGATCGGTTGTAAAAGCCCACCTGCGCAACGAATAAATTACTTATTCATTTCCCATTCCTGCCGTTATTATCATTACCTTGAGCAGCGGCTCGGCGTCGGATGCTTTTATTTCCGCCGGAAACACGGGCGCTCTGGGATCTTGTAGCCGGTCTCCGTTTCCTCGTAGGTGTACTGCCATCCGGCGTTCCGCTCCCACTGTCTCTTTCTCGTTCTCCTCTTTCTCTCTCACGAGCTCCCGAGGGTGGCATAGCTTCCAACATTTGTTCCATGCTGGAAAATCCTGGAGCACAAATCGAAGCCGATCTGGTTTTTCGGCGAAAAGAGTCTTCCGCCATTCTTTCAAGTTACCACAGCCACTACTATCCCTCCCTTCCGTAAGCCTGATTACCCTCCACTCGGATCTTTTGTCTTATATTAATTATCTTTTACAATTTTCTCGGTAATTGTGTCCTTCTTCGTGGATTAATATCGAATCTTGCTATGACTTTGTAAAGTTCTTATATTTCACTTATAACGAAGCACAAATTATGTTGATTCGTTTTACTCGATTCTGTCAGGCACTTTTTTACAGTAAGTTTTCCACATTTAAACACGAACGTTCGTAAAAGTTTTTGTACGATTTCTTTCCGATTTGACGTTCTTCGCAGGAAATGTCTGGCCGTGTTTGATTTCCGGAATATCTTTTCGAATGTCGCAAACCTTCCATTCGTGGAATTCGATTACCGGAAAAAATATCAATTCGGAAAAATTTCTACAGAATATCCAGATAGAGATATCATGGATCCAATGGTATAATGACCGATCTTGGCTCGCTCCGAAGAGAACCCACACGTTCTTCTTAACTCTACAAATAAAATATGAAATTTTCTTTTGGCTTCGTGCACGCGATATAATCAGAGTAATTACGGCCGTGGCAAATTGCGTCTCTCCTAAACTCTCGGTAACATAACTGACATCTATGTTTTCTTTTTTGTGCTGTATTTCCCCCCATCGTTATTCTACCGGAGGTGAACTCGCGAGCTAATTAGATCCACCCCGTCGATTACTGCCTCAATTATTCCATACACGATCGCGAAAACTTTGAAAGCCAGTATAAACACAAAAATTATACAATGTTCTAAATTGTGGATATTTATTTCTTAAATATTCACACACTCATAAAAGACATTAAATATCCTAAATCATTTTTTTAATTACATTAAACTTTAGAAGATTTTAGCACTTTTATTGTACATTAAAAAACATTATTTTTAAATAATTTGGCTTATACTTCAATTATAAATTTGTTATATAAGATTATAAAATGAATGTTTATTTAAATCTGAGAGAATTTAATAAATACTTCATTATAAATGAAAATATGTTTCTACAAATTTTATTATGCTTACAGCAGTTTCAATTAATCAAAGTTAATTTATAAAAAATTCATTTTTAGTAATTCAGAAATTAAGTACGTCTAAAATTCAAACAATTACAATATTATTTTTTCCATAAATACAATTATTAATAAAAAAAAACGAATTTATATTAATTTAATGCTTCATCAAAGGCTTCATTAAAAATTATATTCCGCCGAAATGACTGAGCCAGACAATCATTTGGTTTACAATTAGTAAACCCATGGATCCAAGCTCAACACAATATGAATACTTATACACGTCTACATACATTACATACTGTACATACACATATTTATGTGTAAATACAGTGAGAATTGAAAAAAAGTAGAGATCAAAGACAACACAATTTAAAGAAAAAGAATAAAAATCTAGATGTTAAAAAAACTTGTGAAAATTATCAAAATTAAAAAAAAACGAAAAAATTAAAAATACTAAGTATTAGGTTATTGTATTTAATTGCCTTCTTGATATAAATTCACGTTTTAAAGCTAACTTGATCGATTTAAAGCTAATTTAAACAAATCCAATTACAAAGTTTAAACAATCAAAAACATGTTTTGCTTATTTCTATTTAAATAGGATAAAGATCAATATCAAGAACGTAGTTGGCAGCATCCGAAGTTTCAGACTCGGCATAGTTGAAAGACAATTCTGTTGACTGTCGAAGCTGTCGAAGTTAGTGAAGAGTGAACAGTGATATATCGGGAAGATATCGGTGCGTGAAGATGTTCTGGCAACTATAATCGAGTATCGACAAAGGTAAGCTCAGTCCAACTCACAAGTACAACTTGGCGTTACCTTATCAATATACTCTCTTTGATCAAGTTTATGCCTGTCGTGTATTTTACTTAAAACTACAAGAAAATATTGAGGAAATTAAGTAACTTGGTTTGAAGATAATTTTTTTTCGTATCCACACAAGTAATTTTAATAATACATATTATTTTATCTTTGTTTTATTAGTTATTTAAGTATGTATTTTTTCATTTTTTATTTAATTTTGTCCTCATCAAAATGTCTTTAAAAATATCCTTAATATTTAAATAAGTAATTATTTTTTGTAAAAACAAATAACAGAAAAAAAAATTAATATATATTATTAAGATATCATATCATTATTTTGCTCTAATTTGTCGAACTACTCTTTCTTGCACATTATATTTAAAAAATCAGTCCACATAAAGGATTATTTTATGTTTGCTATTATCACAATACAAGTATCGCGAGTTCCCGTTTATAAAAGGGGCATAAAACAACAATGACAAGGAAATATCTTCAACGAATGCGATGTTGCAACGGACTTTATTTAAAGCACTTCTGTCGTAAGGTGTTTCCTTTGTGAAATAATACATCACGCGAGGACGCGTTTACCATAGATAGACTACAGGATTAAGTAGAGAAACTGAAGCTTTCCTCTGACAGGAGTGAGAAAAGGTCTTACGAGCTCCTCATCGACATTATGCGTTAAAATCGATAGCCTGCATAAGTGCTTTATGTGTTCACGCAACATAACTTCATACATAACTTCACATTACGATATCAAAATTGTGAGTTATCGCGTAAAAGTTATATGTTACCTTTATAAAATCTTTGATACTCTTTCTTCATGTCTTATTATTTTTATACTATTGTATTATTGTTATAATGAAAAAAGTTTTAGAATTTATGATATAGATATACTAAAAAGGTAATAAGTTACCTTCGTTGTATTAGTTTGTCTGTTATGTATAAATATATAAATAATTTAAATAATCATGGCTCTCCTGTTTTCTACACGTGCAACAACGTAATCACTTTTACATTATTTAATCATATTTCTCTTGTACCCAACATGAGGTATTAATTGAATTTGTCGGAATTTTTAACAATCTCTATTCAACTCTACAATTTCTTCAATTATTGGACATTTAGATTTAATCTACATTACAGAAATTGGAATGAATATCGTACACATAAATAATATTTCAAAATATTTATAAAATATATAGAACGTAACCTCTCTCCGTGTTTTCTATCCTTCCGTGATAAATTCAAATCACTTATTTATATATACGTGCATATAAAACTCTTTTTTGCTTGAATATCTCTGTTTCCTTCCCAAATATCAAATCTCTTTTCTGAGGAATAAGTAATGTCTTATTTCAAAGTTAAAGAGACAGAAAGATAAAATTTGAAACATCACCAACTTGAATAGAATATGATACATTCATTTAAACATCACTTTTGAAACTATATGTACTTACATGTTCAAATAAGCAATATTATTTCTCTTAATATTCACTGAAATAAGATGCGAAATTAAATTCGCTTGCATTAAATATAACATAAAATATTTTTATATTAATATATCGCATTAATTGGCATAATGACAATTTAATTTAATTAGTTTGTTAATATTCTCAATAAATATTGAAAATATTTTTAACTTTTCTGTAATAGTAATACAATCTTAATTCATGACTCTCGTATCAAATATCTAAAATATATAATAGTTTATTATAACAGAAGCTATGAAACAATAATTATTTATCCGTTAAAATACTAACAGTACACTTTTTCATTTAACTATTTAATGTTATTTAACTCACCACGGAAGGGTTAAGGGCAAAACAAAGAGAGAGAGAGAGAGAGACCGGGCGCCCTTCGAGAATTTCAAAGTCGGAGCATCGGATTTTTTCTTCCGTACGATGATCACTCCGCTCTCCTGATAGACTTATTTTTTCCGACGACTAATTATAGATAATGTTTCGCATAAATCTTCTATGGAGAAGCATAAACATCTCCGCCGATCTGTCCCCCCATATGTTCATCTCGGTATCTCACTCCTTCAAGAGCTCGCCACGTCCGTAATTATCCCTCTTTTTCGATAAACTCGGTAACCTCTGCCCTTTAGCCGTAATTATATTGAGAGATTATATTCGCACGCCTCTTCGTCTTAAGATATTGTCTTAAGACGTTACCGATGCCTACTCTTATCTCCTCCGAATTCGGGGATCTCTCCGGATCGATATGTCGCGCGCAACGATCGATCCTTACTACTTTAGGCCGTCTACGACTGTGAGATATCTCCTTATCATTTTCTACTTCATCCTTTTTCGCGATTATGACGGACTTCGAATCACATGTCTCGACTGCTCACTCATGAGCGCAACACGACCGACACGATACACGTCCGACGATGCGCGGCACACTGACGGCAACCCGGCGTCGTGGCGGCTCCCAGGGCGAGAACCGACGCTAGGCGTCGGCGTCGGCTCTCTTGCACGCCCTCGTCGCCGACCACAACGAAGATCACGATGAGGACAACGACTACGACAAAGAGATGACGGTAAAGTTGGTGCGTATCCAATTATCCGGCTTTTCAGCGATTCGTCGAATGCGTGAGATGCTTTCCGAAGAATCATCAGAAACTACGGAATCTGCATTCATCAAAAAAACACTTGTACGTTAATTATTTAAATTCAATTAAAAGAGGTGAATGCAATATCACGTGTGTGAGAAATGAATCAAAGGAAATGAATGCTTTTAGAAAACGGAAATGTTTGCTAGTCTAAGAAAGTTTCACGCTTTAACTCCATACAAATGACATGCGCTATAACTCGATAAAAACTTCATCTTCATTAGATCGGCAGCACTAACTTTGCGTGACTTACAATTTCTCAGCAAGAAAAGTCATTATTCTGTTTCGCCATAAAATTTCTTTGCTGTTAGAGCTTTAGAAAGTATATCTAGAATAATATCTGCTAATTATCGACTTAAAAATAAAGTGCCAAAATTTCTTTTCGACTTTGAATGATTTAGAATATGTGCGGAGTAAATTTCTGAAGAAAATTAAAGTTAATAAATTGTTATCAACATCGATTAATAACATTAAAAATTAATGTACGATTTATCGAATAACAAAATAATTTACTACATGCATAAATCTTCATACTGCAATTTTCACGAATTAAATAAGGTTCTCAATCAGTAGTTAAATACAACTTGTAATCAAAGCATAAATAAAAACATTTTATATTATTACTAAATTTGATTTTATCTTGTATTACTTTAAATTATTATTTCTTATTAAAATTGAAACTTTTAATATTACCTCAACACAGCATCGATTAAATCACTGGACATTTTTGTATACATATAAAATAATTTTCTTTATACATTTATAAATTAATAAATTTTTTTAAACGGCAAATATAATACGATCACCAGATTTTCTATGTCACTGTCTCTAAACTGATCCGATGACGTAGCATGACGTGTTCGTTCTAAACGCCAACCTGTTTAAATTCCGGCGATAGATGATGAGATCCACGAAAGCTGGCTCATGTCAGCTTTCATGAAAATTACTGCGAAGTACAGTTTTAAATCGTTTCAGAGGAAAGTCATCGCTCTGGCACCATTACCCCACACGTTGGCACTGTGTATCATGTTCGAGAAAATCTATCTACTTTGCTTTATACATATAAACAAAGTAAACAAACTATTTCCTTAAATCTTATTCAGGGTTTAGTTTACATAGTCAGCGTATTTAATTACGAAATGTACTGTGTCACCATTCCAATAAAATGAGTCAGTATTCTAATAAAATAGAAACAACTTTCTTAAGCAAAAGAGAGAGAGAAAATGTACTATTATTTAGGTTTCTTTTGTTTGATCATATTGATTATCTAATGAGTTGATAATTCTACAATTATTTAATATAAATAGCCGATATAAAGCAACCAAAGAAATAGAACATATAACTCTTAAAAAATTTATACAAAATAGTTACATATTTTAAGTTTTATCGCTCATATAGTTTCACAATACGTCATGTGTCAAGCAGAAAGAAAATTCTAAGAAGATATTCGCTTCAACAAACGAGAATAGAATTCTAAACTATGACGTTGATTATCAGTTTAAGAAATTAGGATTTTCATCGGCAGAGATAACAAGTCTTCAGTTTTGGGATAAATACAATTTTCTATTGAAAATATATTTCATCACAATTCAACGAATTGTTGTTATATATTTATAATTCTAAGAATTTAAGGAAATTCTAAATTCCTAGATTTTATTTTAATATACAAATATAGCATCTAAAATTTTTTAATTTAGTAAATTCTTACATCTCTATTAGAATGTTATTAGATTTGTAATAAATATTAAATAATAATCACAGAATGTAGTTTAAAAAAATTGATAGGCTAAATCTGTGTATTGTAAATTCAAAAGTGTTTGTGATGGGTTTCTGACTTGCTGACGGAACACATTTTAAAATCATAAAATTCATCCAGAACATTAAATCTCTTTCTTCATAGTTCTTTGTCAACGGTTAATCGATACCATGAAGAAAGAATAATATCACTATTTACTCTATAATCTACATAACTTGGAAAAATATTCGCATAATATAAAACTCGTTTTGTTTATTCAATGATCGTTTTAATTGGACGCAATAAAAATATCTAAATATCATAAAAATGTCTATCTTACAATTAATAAGGAATCGAACTCAAGATTTGTTCCTAACGAGGAACGCATTATTCATCGACGTTGCATTTTTCTCTTCATTCCATTTCGTCTCGTTCGCCCAGCATTAGACTCAACGCCGTACGGTATATTTTTGACTTGTGGTGGTCTAAAGCTATTTCAAGACGAAGCCGAATCAACCTTCTACACGATTCTTCGCTCCCACTTTCTCCTCTGGCCTCTTTGTGGGCCCTGACATCCTCCCTTTTTTGTCCCTGGAAACACTTTTTCTTTCAAGGACATTCTGTCGAGCTGTCCAGCCAAAGATATATGCATATAAGTGCATATAAAAACTTTAAAATGTTAAAGAAAGAAAAGGTCGCGTTTGTGTAGATTATCTAAATGGCTCATAAATAACCGAGTGAATTCATGCATAGCCACTGGAAGAATGAGCAAAGAAAAAAAATCGTTTATCGCGTTCAGTATGATTAAAGTGACGCAGCTAAATATGATTATTAATTTTGGATAATTTCTGGCTTACGTAACTGCGAATTGTCAATAAAATTTATTCAACATGGTTCATGGCGAAACTTCTCAATGTTCATTGCAATCCTCCTTTATTGTATTAAAAGACGAGTTTAACTGAGTTTGCAGTTGAGTTTACAACCGAGATCCCATTTGCTCAGTAATTAAATTTGATTTCTGCAAACCGTTGCCGAATTTCCATTCTCTAGTAATAAATTCTTTAAGTTGATTAATAAATTCTTTAAACTGTTTGTAATTAACTTGCTCTTTATATAATATATTCAAAATTATTTTTGTAAAAATTGTGTTATGTTATTTTACATTTCAAATATTTCCATATTTAATCATACAAATTACCAAAGCACGTGTACAAAGTGGCTCGAACAATAATTCCTTACGGGTCAGCGGGATAATCTATATGATGATTCAACACGCACAATCTAATCGTGGTGCGCCACATTCGAAATTAGGTAGTCCTAATTGCAAATGCCATCCGTTGCGGATAGTCGCTATGGGAATGTGTGTGTGTATATGTGTGTGTTCAGAGAATTGCTTACTTCATTAATTCACCAGATCCGAGCATCTGCGGCAAACATACTTGATTCCCTGTTAATTGTAAGATAGGCATTATCATGAATCGAGTCCAATTAAAACCGATCAGATAAATGAATGCGACGAATCAAATATTGATATACTAAAACGGTGCCAACTTCTCATTTACTGATACTGCGGATATACTTTTATCGCGCATAAAAATAAAAGTCAATTTTTTATTGAAGCTGAGTAATGAATTAGCACCGCTGCAAAAGTCGCATTAAATTTATCATTGACTTTTTGTTTGCCGCAATTATTATTCGCGCAATAAGCGTATTTATTTTTCCCCTTTAAAAAACGACAGTAGCACGTTCCAGCAAAGCCGAAAGTATTGCTGTGTCAGAAATCTCATTTATCATTGTCATAATCCGATACTTTGTGTCAAATAATTTTCCCATAGTACGTCTGTCAATCAAAAAAGACGCTCCTTGCCGATATCTACGTGTGTATCTTCTCTGAGAAATCTTATTGTAATCATGCTAAAACGAGAAATAAAACATTCGAAATTGATCGTCCATCAAATGGTAATTTTGTAAACCTGAAAATGGCAAGTTACGGAATTAATCAACGAAATTTACGGAACATATCAAATTTAATTTTAAACGTATATACCTATAGATTTTTATATACGGAAAAAAAATTAATTGGGTGGTATAGCAAACCTGTAACTTACTGTGCCAATTCAACATCTATAATTAAGAAGATTTGGTTTAAGGGGGGATCCTGGTTTACAAACTCAAAATTTTCGATTTTTTTTTTTTCATAAATCGATAGTAAAACTCATGAAAATATAGTTCCTAAAGTAACAAACCGAAATTCGAAGTATTTCGGTAGATACAGCTGATGGAACAGGAACACTTCACGCAGGTATACGATCGAATTTCAGTTAGTTTGGACGTTAGAAAACATTCGAAAACGACAAAACGTATCCAAAAGCAATGAATGGACAGTCTAAACGCGCATCAATCGTATGAAGAAGCGGAAGGCTTAGTGTATGTACCTGACATGGCAGATTAGCATCTAATTGCTGTAAGTTTGCAATAACTATAATTTTTTCGTATCGAAAACTTTAAACGCGTTTTTCTCGAAACCACGTTTTTCAAGTTTATGTAAATTAGCATCTAATTGCTGTAAGTTTGCAATAACTATAATTTTTTCGTATCGAAAACTTTAAACGCGTTTTTCTCGAAACCACGTTTTTCAAGTTTGTGTAACGTCTCAGAAAAAAAGTATTTGACCGATTCACTTTTTCCAAAGCTTTTTAGTTAGCTAATAACCTACTGTCCTCGATGAACTAAAAACATTTTTTTTTTAATGTAACTAAACAATTGTTTTTTCATAAAGAAGTCAGAAATTTCTCGTAAAAATTGTAACTTTTTTTTTAAACCCATACAATTTCGTTAATTCTGCACTCTTTTCTTGGTTTTCTTAGTTCATTTAGGATAAAATTTCATGAAGATTAATAAAAAATTTGGTTTTTTTATTTCAGATAAGAATTAGATCCTCTAGACGTTACACAAAATGACAACTCCGGCTGCACGGCGGTATAAACATATTAAAATATAACAATGTAAAATAACGTTTTTTTAAATAAAAAAAATATTTTTGTATTGTCTATAAATGTCATAAAACAAC